GTGACTTGCCCAGGGCCTCACAGCCAATGTGTCTGAGGCCAGATTTGAACTCAGGTTCTCCTGACACAAGGTCCAGTGCTCCATCTACTGTGCCACCTATGGCTCTTCTTAAAACTCATTTCTCCCTACTGGGCCACAACCCAGCAGCATTTACCAGCCAGACTACCCAGCAATGGATTATACAGTAGTGCAATGATGACCAAACCATATTTTCCAATGAGGTGGAAACTTTGAGCAGATACTGGTGTTTTAATGTATGAGCTCCTCAGTGTCTAAGCCCATCCAGCAATAAATGTAGATCACCAAATTCTGAATCAACCTACAGAACACTGAGGAGATGGTCACCTATCAATATTTGTAGAAGCACAGAACTCAGAACACAAAGTTCTCAGACTTTTTGGTCTCAGGATCCCATTTGACTCTTGAATATTGAGTCCTCTGCCCCAAGAGCTTTTGTTTATGTAGGCTGTATCTATTGATATTTACCAAATAAGAAATTAAAATGTCTTAAAATTATTATGAAAATAGTTTTGACTTCTCAAACCTCTTGAAAGGGCCTTCAGAATCCCTGGGCCACACTTTGTTCTATGAATAACAAGCCTTCTTCCTCAAGTCTCTACCTTATAGCATCACTGCATTTGTTTCCTGGCATTTTGATTCACCATTTGTACTTGGGGTACAGTTGAGGAAACAGCTGATTATTCATGATCTCATAGATCTGAAGAACCAGAAAGAGATTAGTTCAATGTCTAGTAAATTCCAATTATATTCAGCTTCAGTCAGCTAGGTGGCACCATAGTGCACAGAGTCCTAGGCCTGAAGTCAGGAAGACTCATCTTCGTGAGTTCAAATCCGGCTTCAGACACTTACTAGCTGTGTGACCCTCAGCAAGTCACTTGTCCTGTTTGCCTCACTTTCTCATTTGTAAAAATGAGCTGAAGAAGGAAATGGCAAACTATTCCCCTTACCTTTGCCAAGAAAACCCCAAACTGGGTCTTGAAGAATCAGACACAACTGAATCCATGTTTCAAACATTGTGCTGGGGAGCAAAGAGACAGATAAAACCCTCAAAGAGCTTTCATTTTTTTTGGTGGAAATAGCATTGTACATATATAAGGGAAAAAACATTTATTAAGCACCTACTATGTGCCAGATACTATGGAAAACTCTTTATAATCTTGGGAGGTAGGTGATCTTATTCTTCTTGTTTTACAGTTGAGGAGACTGAGACAAACAGAGATTAAATGACTTACCTAGGGTCACACAGTAAGTATTTGGGGCTGGATTTGAACTTGGGTCTTCCCAACTCTAGGCCTAAAGCACTAACTAGTGTTTGGCCTAGCTTCTTCCTATATGTATAAATACAAGGCAGAGGATTAAGGGAGGGTACTAACTAATGTAGTGGGGGGGGGCGGTCTGGAAGGGTTTGATGTATAAGGAGGAGCTTGGGCTAAGTTTTGGAAACACAAGGAATTTCAAGGATGACCCTGGTTTAGTCTCTTGAGTTTTACCTTATGCATAGGTAATTCTCAACAGGGTTTCCCTGGCCATAAGATTTTTTTTAAAAAAACATGTTCTCCAATGTAGTCAGTCATCTTCTCAGTCTCTGCTTCTTGGAGAATCAGGTCTGGCTTGTTGTCGATATCAGTAGCAGCTCATTGAAAGCCAGAGACCTTGGCACATAGGACAGAAGTCTTAAAGTTACAACAACAAGGTAAAAGCTTGCCAAATGGCTCATTTCAGTGTTGAGAATGATCTCTAGTGTTTCACATTTGCCATTGTTTGGCTAGATTCCAAAGGCAAAGCCCTAAGAGAACTGGGCAACATCACTGCATGCTTAATAAAAGACATCACCAGATTTGTACTCCAGGGAGGTGGAGGGCATGTTTTCAGTAAGTGCCCTCTCTGTTTTTCCTAGACTTTGGTCTGGGAACAGATGGATAATGATAGGAAAACATATGGTGCTTGAAGTTCCGCCATATACACCTTGCTGTTGTCTTCCTCAAACTTTTTCTTCTGTGTGCTCTCACTCGACTAGCTGCTTGAAGGAGCTTGAGCATTCACCCCCACACTCCCATTCAGGCCACTTTTTCCTGAACCTCTCCTGTCTGCAGTTATTGGCCACTGCAGCCACCCAAAGCACTCAGGAGTCCTCTTCTATGGTTAAACAAAAGAATAGGCCTGGCCCTGACTCACCACCACTTCCTCCTTGTCAGGCTTGAAGGCTTGCCCTTCTTTGGGGTAAAGAAAAGCACCTGTAGCCACATGTTCACATGGATGCTGCACAAAGCAGTATACTCATACCAAGAGACTGAAGCTGCCCCTAGATCTCCCCCATTTATGTCCTTTTTCTTCTTTCCCTAATAAATTGTATTCTTCCATATTGATTTTCTGTTGTCTGGCTGACCCTTTATGTTTATTCTTTTTGAAGAAAAGACAGAAACAGTAATCTTTTTCTTCCCCTTTAATTGCTAAGAAGTAAAATAAAATTGAGTTTTATCAATCCCATCCATTCCATCCGAAAAAAAGATCTACCACCAAAAATGTTTTATAACCTCCTCTTTGCTGAATCTTATCCTTATTATTGTCTGAGAGGCAAAGATGATGGAATGAACACTGGATCTAAAATCAGAAGACCTGGTTTTCAGTCTTGGTTGTTCTGTCTGATAGCTATGTGACTTTGGATAAATCACTTAATCTTTATGTGTCTCAGTTTCCTCATTTGTCAAATGGGGATAATATTTATTTATATTGCCCCATGGGGTTGTTGTGAGGATCAAATGAAAATAGTGTTTGTAAAATGTTTTGTTAATCTTAAAACATTTTATAAATGGCAACTATTGGGGGCAGCTAGGGGGCGCAGTGGATAGAGCACCAGCCCTGAAGTCAGGAGGACCCGAGTTCAAATCTGGCCTCAGACCAAACACATGACACTTACTAGCTGTGTGACCCTGGGCAAGTCACTTAACCCCAATTGCATTAAATAAATAAATAAATAAATAAATGTCAACTATTAATATCATTAATGATTATATCATTATCATTGTTTAGGGCCATTGTGAATTATTTGAGGAAGAGTTCTTGACTCTCATACCTACTTTCCAAAGTGATGGGAATTTTTTTTTAAGAGTAGAATCATAGATCATTTAGATCTGGATGAAACCTTAGAGACAGATGAATCCAACTCCTATATTTTACATATAAGGAAACTGGGATAAAAAGAAATTAAATGACTTGTCCAGACTCAAAGAGCTAGTAAGTATGTATACATACACCTATGTATACAGAATTTTATATCTGAGTCAAATATTGTGAGTCAAAAAATAGGGAAGGCAGCAATGGGTCATGCTGGCTTACCTTATCATCTTCAAATAGCTCACTGCCTAAATGCAAATATGCATCAGTATAGAAACTGGGAATGATTCAAGCTTAGTACTATTTCACCTATGAGCTCAGAAAAGTGTCAGCATGGATTTCCCTTTTTAGACTACAGGATTCTGAGCAGCCACCTCCTCAAAGTGGATTATCAAGCAAAATATGACTTCTTGTCCAAAAAATTATTATTTAGCTTTGCTCATCATCTCTTCATAAGTTCTCCCTGATACAATCCTTTATTACTAGCCTTCAAGCAAAACTTGCATTATTCCCACTCCATGTAAAATTAACTCAGCCTGAATGTAGAAATGCTCTTACACGTGGTAATTGTATATGCAAATTGGGAGCCCCCATGACTTGCCTGCTGAGTGTTCATCCCCCAAACTGTGGGGGCAGCACATGGTTTCTGTTTTATTGCTTGTCCTTTATTGTGAAAGGGGTAAGAAGTAAAAAGTGACAAATACAGATGAGTCTAAATTTATAAAGAGGGGGGAAGAGAAACAGCCCAGATTAGGGCATTTGGTAGCAGTATGAGGAGAAAAAAACAGAAGTGTACCTGAGTGACTTCATTGTGAAAGAAGATTCTAAGTGGACAAAACCCAAGAGAGTACCAAGAAACTAGAGGTGATGGGGAGAGAATGAGCAAGCCTGCTTATCTTAGACATGCTGGTAGCAATTGGGCCAAAAGGCAGAACAAAAGCAAGACTGTTAGGTTTCATAGGCTAAACATCTTGATTAAAAAATTGGAGAAATGAAACTGACAATTCTTAAACAGTTGCCATTTTCTGAGTGGACTGTAGTTAAGTGGAGTTGAGGATCTCTCCTCCCAACCTTGCTAAAAATTGCCTTTGGATCACCAGTGATTAGCTCTTAGCTCTGTTTCTCCCCCGAGGAATTGTCCTTTGCCTCTAAGAGAGAACAGTTTGCCTTAGTCATGGCTAGGCTGCTCCAGCTAGCAGCTGAATGGGAATGTGAACAAATGACCTGGGCATCTGAAGGATTAGAATGTTATTCTGAGATAATCCTGGGTATATACTAAAGTGGCCACATTGCCAGATTAACTCTGTGAAGACAGAAATCTTAAAGTACGTTTGTATTATGCCCTAAACTGGTGGACTACCAGACAAGAGTTCTTAATCTGTAGCCTACAGACTCTCCAGAGGTCTGTGGATAGATTCCGGGGGGTCTGTAAACTTGGACATGAAAAAATACAATTTTATTTCAATATATTTGGTTTTCTTTGTAATTCCATGTATATTATCTTATGTGTTTTAAGACATTTCAGGAAGGGTTCCCTAGGAACCAAAGGAGTCCATGATAGAAAAAAAGGTTAAGAACCTCTGATCTAGAGTCTCTTTTATAATCCTTTCTGAGAAATGAAAAATGTTTTCAAGAGATTAAAAAATTTAATATTTTTGTATTTTATCTATGTATCTAATCTTGTTATAGCTTTTATGTAAAATCTATATTGCATCTCTGTAGGCTTTGGTTGGCACTACCAAACTACAAAGGCTTCAATGTAAGGGAAGGGGGTGGGAGGCAGAAACCATTCTAATAATGAGAGCAGTCCAAAAGAGGAATGGACTGTTTTGGGGAGGTATTGGGATCCCTCTCATTTTCTTCAGGTCAAAGGATGAATAACCACTTGTCCAGTATTCTGAAGAAGGATGCTTATTCAAGTATGGGTAAGACCTCCAAGCCCTTTTTCAGCTCTTGAGATTTTGTCTGATTCATATCACAATCTCTTTATGCCTTAATAGGCGGCTTCATGGGCTACTGTATTTGTCTCTCTGTCTCTGTCTCTCTCACTGTCTCTCTCTGTCTCTTTCTGTGTCTCCGTGTCTCTCTCTTTGTCTCTGTGTGTGTGTGTCTCACATATACACAACACACACACACACACACACGCACACACACACACACACAGAGTAATTACCTCCTAGTGGTTAACCATCAGTTGAATTTACTGGTCCTTGATATTGGATGAATAGAATATTTTCCAGCTTGGGGAAAACCTCCCAGAGCCTATAAAATAGGATCCCATCAAAGAAGGATTTTATTGGAAGACCTTCTACCAAGGTCTTACTTCAGTGCTTCATCATAGTGTAGGAGTGTCCTTGGGGTCTTGAAGATTATGCTAATAGAGTGTACAGGCTCTGATAGACCTTTCCAAGCTAAAAAGGCTTCAAACATTGGCCAAATGAAGGAGAGTGTGCTTTTTGTCCAAGAACCAACCCAGCTAAACTAAGAGGGGCTCATTACCAGAAGGGTGGCTCTAAGGTGATAAATATTTTTGGTCCCATAACTCATGAAACTGTCTACTAAGTTGTAGAAAGGCTTCTGTCCACATCACGGGTTTTTTTTGAAATGCTGAAGACCATCAAATTTAAGTGCCTGATATTTGCTGGCCCATGTTTAGGCTATGCAATGGGGAAGGTATAGCAGGGGACCAACCATCTCATAGGGGAAATAAAGACAAGGACAAAAATAAACTCTAATAGCAGGCATAGTGTGATAAGTCTGAAAAAAATTTATTGTGGTTCTGTCCTAAAACCAGCTGGGCTTCAATTCCTGGCCTGTGGCTTATGCTTTACTAGTCACAGGCTCTCAAAATAACATTTTCTAATAGGACTTTAAGTTAGAGAATGAAAGAAAAAATAAAGAGATATAAAGTATCTACTATGTGCAGAGCACTGTGCTGCGAGAAATAGAAAAGCAATTAAGATCCTATCCTTCCTGCCCTTGTAGTTTAGGTGGGAGGACAAGACAGACCGATAGCCATAATGTAGAACAGAATAGAAGTGTTTGAAGGTACAGTCAAAGTGTTACATGAGGTCTGAGAAGGGAAAGTCATTTCTGAATGGAAAGATCAAGAAAGGTCTCCCAGAGGGTCATAGAATCATAGGTTGAGCTGGAACCTTTGATGTCATCTAGTCCATCTTCATTTTAGAGATGAGGAAACTGAAAACCAGAAAGGTTAATAGACTTGCCCAAAAGTCTATTGTGACATTTGAACTGGGTCTTTTAAGACCTAGCTGTTGACTGACCTCTGTCTTTGAGTGACCTAAAGACTCCCCATCTGCCTTGCTGCCATTCACCTCCTTCCTCCCCCCAGCCTTGCTCAGGGATTTGATAATCAAATGAATAGTTAAAAAGGACATAGCATTCTACTGTCCTATGGCTCCATTCAGAATCCTTGTGACTCAGTTACAGACACTCCTTTCCATGGGTGCCACTTCCTATTCTCTCATATCCATCAATGTCAGTCCCATCCCTGCTATGACCCTAACCAACTCCCCTTCCATTGACCTCTGTGGAGCCCCCATTCTACTGGTAACAAAATCTTATTTGTTAGATTTGTTCCTCTCATCTCTTTGCAGTCACAGAAACCTGGACTTCCCAGAAGGCACTGCATCTGTGGCCACCCTTTCTAAGTATAGATGTAGATTCACTCATTCCCCCCCCACACACTGCTTCTTTCATAGTCTGTCCTCCCACCTTTATTTAGCAACCTTGCCTTCTTTGAGGAAAATCAATCCTAATAACCTTAATAATATAGTATCCTATCTAGATCCTGGTGGTTATTATCTACCAGCTGCCAAGGCATTCTTTCTCTCTTCTTAGGGCGCTCAGTACCTGATTCAATTGTTCTCTCCTTTGTAACCTCAATCTTATAATTGAGAACTTCAATTATGTGTTGGTGACCCCTCAAGTATCCTTGCCTGCCAATTTATGTTTCCTTAACTTCAATGATCTGCACCTTCATTGTACCACTACAACTCACAGGGATGACAATATCTTCAATTCTATCGTCACTTATAAGAGTTCCCCCTCCACTGACCATAACTCTTAAGTTACTCTATCTTTTCTAAAGCTTCCTATTCTTCCTTCTTAACCCTATGTATTTCAACCCTCCTAAACCTATTTTTGGCCTCACCTATAATATCCAGTCACTACATTTTCCCTTCTTTTCCTGGCTATAATCCCTGCTCTGACTTCACTTTCCTTCAAAATCCTGACCTTGTATTTAATCAGTCCAACTTTACATTGTCCTTTACCCTTGAGTCCCTTAACCCACTGTCCCATCACCATTCATCCTTTCTCCAAATCCCAACTCACCTGGATGATTATAATAGACTCTTAACTGGGTTTTCTGTTTCTAGTCCAGGGATTCTTAAACTTTTGTGTATGGACCCTTTTGCAAGTCTGGTGAAGGCTATGGACCCCTTCTCAGAATGATGTTTTTAAATTCAAAAAATAAAATACACAGTACTACAAGAGAAACCAATTATGTTGAAAAAATGTGTGTGTGTGTGTGTGTGTGTGTGTGTGTGTGTGTATGTATGTGTGTGTATGAATAACCAAATAGGCATTCCTAAAGCAGAAGTAATACCCTACCTTTTCCCTGCTCATGAAATTTCAATAGTTTTCTCTTGCCTCTAGGACAAAATATAAAGCTAAACTCTTTTTAGATTTAAAGCCTTTTGTTATCTGGTTCCAACCTACCATTCTAGGCTTATTACAAATCTTTTTCCTTCACACATTATGTATTCCAGCCAAACTGGCTTACTTGTTGTTCCCCAGGTACAATATTACATCTTAGTGCCTTTGTATAGGCTGTCCCCCATGCCTAGAGGGCACTCCTTCCTCCCCTCTACCCCTTAGAATCCCTAACTTTATTCAAAAAATAGCTAAAATGCAGCCTGCTTAAAGTAAATATCTAGATCCTTACATTTACCAGTGCCTCCCGTATCCATTACTTTGTATATATTTTGTATCTATTTTCTGTATATCTGTTGTTTCTCTTTGGTAGAACGTAAACTTCTTGAAGGCAGGGATTATTTCATTTTTGTCTTTGTATACTTAGAGCCTAGCACACAGTAGATATTTAACAAAGATTGAATAAATCAGTGGGATTTTGATAGGTTGAGATGAGAGGCAGAAAGGAATTAGGTCAATGAAAGCCTCTTCCTTATCTATTATCCCAGATAATTGGTGTGGCTTAAAAAAAATTTCTGAAGAATGGGAATGGGAAAAAATGCTAGAAAATTCAAGTTGAACCTATGACCCCTAGGTAACTGGGTCACTTCTTGATATTTAACAATTAAAAATGGTTTCTATCTTTATGTATTTTGTAATTGTATAAGTAAACCTATCCACTTGTAGACAAAGAGGGAAGATGAGAAAAATTCTGGTAAAAGAAAAGCAGAATTCTTGTAAATGAAAGCTAATAATCTGTTCTTTTTTTTTTCCTCTCAGAATGACTTGATTATTTAGCACATGACAGTGGTCAGGGGACTATAAAGGAATTTTTTTTTTGTTGTTGCTCATATTAGTATCAGGTGCCATTCTCTCATGGGTGCTTGGGCCTACTTCTGGAGGCTCCAGTTTTCTTTCTTATCAAAGAGTACCATAGCTTTAGATGGGAGAGCAAAAGTGTGTTCAAGTGATCTATTCAGACCAAACAACTTATTATTATGGGTTACCCACAGAATTTCCCAATAGATTAGACAACAGAGGTACATTTTCAGTCTCTACTGTAGCCTCCTAAATGGCTCTATCAGGGTACACAAAGTACCCTCAACACTGGCTCTATCAGGGGGAGCAAAGTATGCCCTCTTGAACACAACAGGCTCTTTCTCTTTTAGATGCCAAAAGTTAATGAATGAAAGAAAAGCATTTATTAAGGATTTACTATGTACCAAGCCCTGTAGAAAGAAGTGCAACTCTGATTAAAGTCACGCTATTGAGGTCAATGGTTTGCTTTTGACATATTTCAACATGTGTCTGATAAGTGACCAGTTTCCCTTTCTCCATGGAATCCATATGGCTTAGCAAAGCTAAAGATTCCAGTGGAGGGAGCTACCACTGTTTGTGACTTTACCTCATGAGACATTGCTTCAAAGTCACTAAAGGAGACATAGTTGAGTATGCCTGCCATGGCAGAGTCTAAGACAGTGATGACAGAATATCAGAGTCCTAACCATGAGGCAGGGATCTCAGTAGCCAGCTAGCCCAATTTATACATAAAAGGAAAACAGCTCTTATCCAACCTTAGCATGAGAAGACTGGTCAACTTATTGTAATTGTTTAAAATTAAATATCTGACCTCACTTTCATTTTTAGGTATTTAGAATGAATGAAAGTGTGGCAATATTGTCCTTACTTGGTGCAGTGGTAAATCCTTCCCGCACTTTGGACCTTAGTTTCCTTAGCTGCAAAATGAGGGAGTCAGACTTAACAGATTTCTCAGGTCTCTCCTACATCTGACAGTTTGAGATTCTGTGAGTATTAACTAAGTATTTATTGTAATTGCTCTTAATAAAACTGTTTGAGGAATAAAATGCCAGAAAGATTAGTGTTTAGCTGGTCTCAGTCACATAGCTTTCGTCACTGGCAGAGATGAGGTAGGACAATGAGAGAATTTTCCTAAATAAACCTTTCATGGTAATGTAGGAAAGGAATGCTTTTAAGCATATGCATTTTATAAATACTTGTCAGTTGACTGATTGGGACATTGGGAAGGCTAAGACACCACGACTCATATTATTGTTTAGTCATTTTTCAGTCTTGCCTGACTTTTCAAGACCCCAGTTGGGGTTTTCTTGGCAGAGATAGTGGAGAGGTTTGCCATTTCCTTCTCCAGCTCATTTTTCATGTGAGAAACTGAGGCAAATGGGGATAAGTG